GACACTCAGTACTTCTTTTTGAGGGTCCATGACAAAAATGCAGGTAGTCCGATAGTATTCCTATGTCCTACTCATCTGTAAGTATCCTTTCATGCTTCTTGGATGTTAAAACCTCCAGAACGGTAACCTCCCATCTATTTCCCTTTCCCATACCACAAGCTTTCCAGTCTTCTCTCACAGCCAGGCCCATTATGCTTTTCCTCATGCTAATAGGCGCTATGCTGATCAAGGCCTTTTCAAAAGGCAGCACAAATTAGGGGCATGTCCTCAAGCTGTAAGAAACACCTCAGGCTTTTCAAGAGTAACAGGCTCCAAAATCACTGGAGAGGAACAAAATCTCTGAGGTCGTAGAAAAAATATTTCCTAATTTTATCCTTGGGAGCTCAGAACAGAAGCAGCTAATGATAATCCTGAGACTTCTCATCTTTTTTCCTGCAGTCAAGAGTTGCAAAGAAAGCATTTGACTATTCAGCAGATATGGAAATTTAGAACTAAAATTGGGTGGGAGCACAAAAGAAAGAAAGAAGAAAAAAAAAAAAGGTGTGTCTTTATTTTATTCCAACCCTAGATCCCATGAGACACAGTTCTGCTGCAGCGAAGGGCTGCACCTTAGGCAAGAACCTCTCCCAGCCACTCCAGCTGTCACCAAATCAAACGAACTGACGCAGCTGGAGATACAGGCTCAAGGAGCAGAGCCCGTATTTCCCTCTAACCTTCTTACAGAGCCACACAAGGCTTCTTATGATCCTTTCAGAGCAGGAGGCTGGGAACGTCACATGGCAGTGTTGTAACAGTTCTCCCTAGTGAGTCATCCCCTCACTTAGCAATGGAGAGGAGGCAGAGGTAGTCTCCTTCTGCAGGATATTTTCTGTCACCAGTCCCGTTCCTTGCCTATACCCAGACTTCTTTCCAAACCCAGAGTGATCTCCTCTTCTCACTTTATGCCTTTTTCCAGGCAATCATCTCCAGCCTCCTGGCTTTTCTCCTCAACTCTGCTCTCCCATTTCATAACCTTTTCCGGACAGGACTGTTCTCTATCTTCCTGGACATCCCATGCAAAAATCCTTCTGGCTGTACACACTCCCAAGCCTGACTGGTCCCAAATTCCACAGATGCAGACAACCCCATCACCACCTTTAACTCACAGGTTTACCATCCCTGTACTATGCCAGCGTCAGTCTCCATTTCCACCTCTTGTCCCCATGGCTAAGCTCCTCATATGGCTTAAGATCACCCCATTAGGACAGGAACTCTACCATTGCGGGTACCTAACAAGTTGCCACTTCCTTCAAAGCATCACTAAAATAACTCTCTCTCTACCTCAACAGTTACGTTTTGCTCAATGCTCACCTCCGCTTTGAAAACTTCTATCTTTTACACTACCTAATTAATAACTTTCTGCCATCAGATTTCATATAATTATTCCACCTGGATCTCCTTACGTGGCTCTTCTGTTCCTTTGCCAGCTCAAGTCCTTGGCTCTCGTTTCCAAAATCCCTATCTTTGTTTCTGTTAGCATCTGTGCTCCTATACCCCCTTCCTTTCTTCTCATGGTTTGAACTACTCTTACAACTGCTTCCTCATCCTCGTTTCCCCATTTACCACCTTTCAGTAGCTTTCCATGCCAACCCCATCCAAAAAAAAAAAAAAGACCAACAACAGAACAACCCAACTCTCTACCCTTGTTTTAAGAAGTGATTGGAAAGAAAACCTTTCCGAAGCTTTTCCCATTAAACCAAAGCAAAAGGAAATTTAATTAGAAAGCTATGCTATTTTAATATTGGACCTTATCTATCCCACTAGAATTATCACATCCCTGATCCTTATCAGATGTCTAATTTAGACTACAAACCCTTCAGGCAAACGTAGCCTCTTCCTCCACGTTACACAGAGCCACAGCTCTTAGACCGATCCTTAAGGTAAGGAAAATACCTCAGAAATGCAAACAATTTCATTTTGCCAAGATCAGCTCCGCTCCACACACTGGGACTTGGGAATGACTCGAGCAGTGAGAAGTACTCGCTCTTCAAAAATTCCAAAGGCAAGAGTGGTTCCCCCCGGCTCCCAGCCACCTCCCCCCCCAAAAAAAAGAAAGACTGCCTGACATTGTCTGAGAAGAGAGAAGCTGGGCATAGACTGTACTGAAAAGGCTTTTCCATGGTACCTCTAGTTGCTTCCCGCCTCAAGTCCCAAAGCCATCACTTATCCCCTTCAAAACAGCAGGAGAGTCATTGCTTTTTTTCTTCCCTCTCCAGAAGAAGCACAGCAGAAATAAACCTCGAATGATAAATTATGCACCACCTTTGTGTGGCTGCCTCTTGGCCAGACGGGAAATTTTTCTCCCAAAGCCTTTTGTTCCCAGCTTTGATCCCAGTGTTGGATCCGCTCTGTTCAGCACTCCCTCGGCATGGAGGTGAAGGGAGAGCTGACACAGGCCAAGTTCAGGCTTACTGCGAGTCACAGTCGGATCTTCCATTAGCCATCCCCCCTCCCCCTTGCAAACTGGAACTGTCCTTGAGTTTGAAAAGATCCTATTAAACATTTTCCAGAGGGCCTTACAGAGGATACATTATTTTGATGGATGCTGGGACTAAAGGAGGAGGATTTCTAAGTACAGGGAAATAATGGAGTTTGTTCTAATGGGTTTAAGAGATGCCCGGGGGCACCAAGTAAGTTCCTTCTCTGCAAATCAAAAACACAGAAGACCAGAAAATGGAGCCGAACAACTAAACGCCAGGAAGCGGGGAAACTGCTGCTCTTGGTTACAGCCAACTTCAGGCTGCTTGGAAAAACAGCACACACACACACCACTGGCACAAACTTAACAGGAGAAAACAAAGAGACAACAGGGGTCAAACTGGGGGTGGCAAGTAGGAGAAGGATGCAAGGCTGGGTCCCCACCCCCTACCAGAGAGTCGGATCAATTATCCTTGAATACTAACAAGATTTCTGATTAAAGAACTGCTGCTATGCAATAGGAACAGAAAGCTCCAGCAGCCAGGAGGGGCTGTCAGGCACTAACAAAGAGATACAGAAGACTATGCCCTGTGCTAGGGCATGTGGAGGAAGTCACCACGCTGGTAGCCCGGAGAAGGGTCCCCTCTGCCCCGTGGCCTGACGATGTCTCACTGCCGGCAAGTTCAGCTCCAGGAGTAAGGCTTCACCTTGACACCACAGAATGTGGAATCTGTTTTCAGGCAGACACGGTCTCTGCTGGAAGCTCTGCTGGACAACACTTCGTTAAACATCTTCATTGCCATGCTACAGTGAGGTGAATTTTCCTGTCATCCTAACCCATCCAGGGGAAGTAGCTGGTCCTTCTTAGCTCTGAGCATTACAACGACATCAGGAAGTTGCTAGCAACTTCTGACAGCCTGGGAAACAGGAGCCCACGTAGTCTTTGGTCAGACACTTCTCGACAAGCCTCCAATTTGCAGTACAAACATTTACTTTGCATATATGATATTTATTATCCATTTATCTTAATAGTTTGTGACCTGCTGACTGGTGGTTAAATGCAGAGACATCTAATAACCTAAGAAGAACCTTATGAAAAACAGAAGCTTCTCTTAAACCTCTTCACACTCCAAAGCTGTGCTAACATGCCTGTAGCAGGACGCGTAGATGTATCTCAGACCATCAGGCTTCTGACTCTTCAATCCCACCATAATTCCTTGATATGAAGACTTTCAGTCAGTATTCAGTTTCCACAGCTGAGCAAGGCAAAAGCCCACAATGTTTAACATTAATAAACTCTTATGAGAACTTATTTTCCTGCCTTTGCATAGCGAGTCTCCTTTCATCTGGGCCCATGGCAATCTAGGAGGAGTTCTGCTCCTCACAGAAGCACTGACTGCAGCTCAAGAGTCTCTCAGACTAAGTACACAGGATGGAATACTTCAGCATTTAACAGGTAGCAGCAAAAAAAAACCAACTGGAAAGCTGAAAAACCTGAACATAAACTCACCCACAAGAGGATGGCAGCCAAATACTCCCAAGGTAACAGTCCCAGAGCAACCTGATACACAGAAGGAATAAACTGCAAGCCTTTGGTTTACAAGTCCCCAGGTCCATGCAGTTACTGTTTTTATCTTTACTACAGGGAGATGGAAATCTACAGGGAAGATGATACAAAAAGACTCAGGAACCGTTACAGTGCCCAGTCTTCATGCAGGATAGGCAACAAAATCCCATGAAAGATTAATGCCTAACATAGCAGTCACGTCAAAGAACCACAGGCACTACAGATGCAAAAGCAAGAGCTGAACCATCAAGCTCATTAGATGCATGGATGACAATTACAATTAGTGTTCTCTGCCGTGATTTGTGTGAAACACAGACAGCCACTAAATACAGGATGCCAATTAATGGAGTGGGTCTGCTGCATGCCAGAGCTCCAGCTCTGGATGTTATATCAGGTATAGTCAAACATCTTTAATGGATGATGGTTGGCATAAATGCACGTGTGTATATATCACCTTGTAATATAAAACTGGGTGAGATAACATCATAAATAACTAAGGTGGAAATAACAGAAAAGTAAACAAGTTGTCCACTTTTATGGTGTGTTTCTTTTGACAACACTTTACTTGTAATTCGTATGTCCTGATGGAGAGTCAGTCAATTTCCACTATCTCATTTGTCTTTGGTCATCGGCTAAAGAAATAGAAGTATTATTAAAAAAGAGAAATAGACAAAATCACAAGTAGCAGAAGAATTCAATGAAGGTGTAGGACATGCACTTACTTTTTAACCTATTTTTAAAACCTTGGTTTTCAAGATAACATCTCTTTATCAGCTTTTATAAGCAGTATGTTATGAAGCATGTTAGAGGCAAAATGTTATGAAGCATGCATTCTATTGTGTTCAATGGTAAGTTGCATTCTAGGGCAAATGGAATTGGCCTTGGGCAAGACAATTTCTACTTCGCTTCCCACATATACAAAACAAGGATAATATTTGCCTATTTCAAAAGAGTGCAGTAAAATTCAAGAGGACTATCAGACTACAGATCATTCTCACAGAATGAATGTTTTAATTATTTTTTCATGTTAATGTCACTAGTCTGGAGAACTGCAGGCTTTCAGGAGTTAAAACAAAATACAATCACTTTGATTTCTTTTCCTAGTTAACATACAGCAAGTACTGTTTTCAGGTTTGAACTACAAAAAACTGCATAATCTTTACATTCAACCACCTTTTCTTGTTTAACTTCAACAAACAGAATGTAGGGAAACGTCTCCAATTCTCTGAAATCCCAACCTGTGGCCCACATGAACAGAACATCCCTCTTCAGGATTCACAAGACACTCTGGAAATGCAAGCACTTTACATAACTAAGTGCCTATTAATTTGGTCGCTGCATACACCCACACTGCCAGGATGCAAGAAGGGATTCTCTAGTGCAGACAGCAGTGCTGAAGCACAGAGCTGAAAGCATTTGGTACTAGAACACAAAAGAACGTTGCTTATCTACACTAAATAAACGGCAACGTTAACTGCGTACTGGAAGATTACGTTTTATGCTTTTTCACTATTTTTCACATGCTACCATGTTTTAGTTGACAAAGAATTGTTTAAAAAATAACAACATAAGACACCCAACATTTTCATTCTCCTGCTGCATCTTACTCTTCATTTTAAAAGTGGAGATTTTTTCAGTGCTTTCATCGCTTTGACAAAAAGAAACGGTCAAGAGAAATGTCATGACCAGCACAAGTTGGGGATATCATCCAACCTGATTGACAGCAAACCCAAGTACACTCAGCCTAACCAGGAAGAAGAGCATTATCAGCTCTAAACTGCAAGAGGAAAACAAGCGCTTTGCACCTGGCTCAGAGCTGTACAATCAACAGTGATGCCACACACAGGTAGTGGAGATCTTGACTCCCACTGCAAACTGTACTTCTCCAGAGGTACCACCTTCAAGTTTGTGACTCTAAGAGTCAAGATGTTTGGGGAGGGAAGCTCTGATACTAGCCATGTATTTTCCTGGCAGAGCTCCAGGAGCTAGAACAGCAAACACATCACCCAGACAGGTTCTGTGACATTCTGTGTTTATACTAACACAGACCATCATACCATCAGGCCCTTCATCACCATGCACCACCGGTGCATGCCATTAACTTTTAATTCTCCCCCTCTGTGCCTGTTGTTACCTGTGAGATGCTCTTCCAAGAGCTCATGATAGTTGCAGACCTGCTTTATTCCCCTGCACAGACTTCTCCCGTTTTAACTGCCCCTATCCACAAACAGAAGATCAAAGTTCAGTCCTGGAGATTTGTTTGCTTTACCCGCTCCTGCAGTGAGGTTCGGCAGGCAGTAAATGACCGGGTGCTTTTAACATTTCCTATAATTTACTTGTTTGGCATTGCAAATTCTGTGGCTGTTGATGCTTTATGACAGTTGAGCTACACACTGTCCCCACACGTACTTCTAAGGAACACCGATGGGAAAAGCTCTGCAAAAGCTAAGGGGTGGGTGGAAACTAGGGCCATCAACTCACCACAGGCTTTGGCATCTTCTCTGCTACCTCCTTATCTTTTTCCTTACTTCAAAATACAAAAAAATATTGTTCAGGAATTGTATCCTGCATTATTGGGAAGCACTTCTCCCTGTGAAAGAAAGCAGCAGCTCACTTCTGGAAATAGTTGGTGCATCCAATCAAAAACTCACGCTCACTTGACAAGAGGATAGAGAAAAGGGCACTGATGGGAGAACTACTTGAAAGAGAGACAAACTGCCATAAAAAGTGTCCCAGAGACATCAAGACACAACCACCTAGGAACAAACCCGCTCTTTACAATCAGACATCCCCCACATGGCTGTTAACAGCCCAGACACATTAACTAGGAGCACCTGGGTAACAGCCAAAATAAAACACATCCAGATCTGTACCTACACGAAGACCTATGCTTTACATCCTTCTCACTCCTAGAGCGCAGCTAAATGTGTGGCACTTGGGAACTTAAGAGCACCTCTTGCTTTAAAAAGCAGATTTGCTGATACACGGAACTGCAGCCCTCTACTCAGCCTTCCCGAGCTGCTTTAGCACCTTCTTCAAAGCTGCCTGCAATTAGGTCCCTTGTTAGAAGAGAAATAATATTACTTGAAACCCAAACCCCATGTGATTGTGCCCCAGAGGCGATGCCTGCAGAACGATGGAGGAGGTCAGCAGCACCACTGCAAACGCTTCCTGTAATTTCAGAGAAGCGGAGGAGAGAAAGGATGGGTGAAATCCCGCGGCAGCTGCCGGAGGAGCGAAGGGAGAGAAGCGAGGTCCGTGTCTCCGCTCCCCTCCCCCCGAAGCCTCCCAACTCTTTATAAACAATCCCGAGGAGCGTTTGGATGGTTTCCCCTCCACCGGGCGCGCTCGGAAAACAAGGCACCGCCGCGCACGAGGACGAAGAGCGCTTCGCAGGCGGCGGGGCAACCGCGGAGCCAAGTTTTTTCCCCCGACGAGCCTCGCTGCGAGCGCGTCCCCGCTCGGCGCCGAGCCTCCCCCCAGCCCCACCGCCGCTATTTTGGGGGAAGCGCCCTCCCCACCCCCCGTGCCGGCCGGGGCAGGTAGCCCGGGGCTGGGGGGAGCCACGGCGGAGCCGGGCTGCGCCTTTAAGGGGCCCGCGGCTGCATTCCTGCTGCGGAGCGGCGGCTGTCCCGACACGCCGGGCACGGCAGGCTCGGAGGCAACCTGCGCGCCCGCCCCACGGGAACAAAGCCCGAGCCCGCCGCCCGGCTCCCAAGGGGGGCAGCGGCCGCCTGGGGCTCCGGGGACCCCCTCCGAGGGATCCCCTCCGGCGGCGGCCCCGGGGCTGCGCTCCCCGGCGGGCGGGCGCGGGCAGGTGAGCGGCTCCCGGCCGGTACCGGGGCCCCCCCCGAGGGCAGAGGGCGCCTCGGCAGCCGCTTACCTCTGGCGTGGAGCAGCGCTCCCAGCAGCAGCAGCAGCAGGAGCCGCGGAGGAGCGGGCGAGAGGCAGCCCCCGCCGCGCCGCCCCATGCTGGCAGCGCCCCGGCCCCGCAGCCCCCTCGCCGGCTCCTCCTGCGCGCTGCAGCCCCGCTCCCCGCCGCCGCTCTCTCGCTCGCTCCCTCGGCAGCCGCAGGCGGCTCCGGGGCTGGGGGCTCGCTCCCCGCTCCGCCCGGCCCAGGCCCGGCCCCGGAGGAGGAGCCCCGCCGGGGCAGCCCCCGCCCCGCTCCCCCCGGCGCTTCGCAAACTTTCCGCGCGGCGGAGGCGGCTCCGCGCCGAGACCCCGGCCCCTCGCTTTCCCCCTCCCGGGGTCGGCACCGCCACGGGACCCTCGGCTCAGGCTCTCTGCGGGCTCCCCAGAGCGGTCCCCTGGGCTCCGGGCTCCCCCTGGGGGCGGAGAGCTCCCCGCCTTGTGCCCGGTGCAGCCGAGGCAGAGCCCCTGCGCCCCGTCCCAGCCCCTCTGCCGCGCACCCTTCGGGAACTGGATGCCCCTGAGCAGCCCCTTCCCCAGCTCCCTGCTCCGAGGGAGAAATTTTTCCCCCCGTTCATCGCAATTCTTTTCATATTTGATGTTTTTTTACAGCCTGGAGACAGCCAACGATGTAGGAATCTCTGCTACCCTAAAAAATAATGAAAAAAAAAAAAGGAGCCAGGGTAGAAGCCTGTAGGAGTAGAAATTAACACTTGGACAATCGTCTTCCGTGCCTTCTGGTTTCTGCCTTGAGTTTAAAAGCAGACAGGCTTTCACTGGATGTCATTGTTAAAACAAGTTTTACGATCCTCTGTGGCATGACTTGACATCTTAATACGCGGGGTTGGCAACGCAAGAAAGTTCTGTTATGTAATTAATCTCGGATGATTTCTAAGTATTAATTCGGATGCAAGCTGATTCAGATAGCCCAAACCCTGGACCACAGGGGAAGATGGGAATTTCGTCAAATTGACACCAAAGGGCCGGAGTTAGCAATGGTCTTATTTAAAGCCTTCACGCAGATGAATCCAGAGGAAGCTGCAATTATTCCTCTCCTTTAAAGAATCACAAGAGCAAGTAAACAGCACAGCATGTGACTGAGACAATTCTGCCATTCCTATTAATTAAGTGTAAAATAGTGAAAACAAAGGATATTATTAAACATGTCAACAGAAAATTAAAGCAGGGGCTGATTCTTGATGAACTGAGAGACAAAAAAAAGAAATCTAAAGAAAAAAAATAATCTGAAACAGCTTCACTGAGGAGAACTCCCAAGAACAGGAACACCAGAAGAAGCAAACCAAGCATAAATTTACAATATATGGGGCCCAGATTGCAAAAAATACCCACACAAGAGTCTATTTGTTTTATATGCTGAATTGCTGCTTCAGGATGGGAACAGATCCGCTCTACGCAGCATGTGTGCAATAGCACCTCGACTATGGCTCTGAATCCTGCGCCTTTGACAGACAAAGTGCACAAAGTTGCCAACCAGTAACAACAAAAAAGGTAGCCAAGAGGGACTAATTGAGGTGGAGCGATTAAAAAGCCTCGCTATGCTAACATTGACTTGGAAACAGGGACAGACTGAGGCACGAAAAGAAAAAGCAGTTATTGTAAGAGAATAAGCTCTGAGATGATCGAAGTGGAAGAGTTAGGAACAGGGGGCTGAAGTTAAGGGCGAGAAAACATTAACATAACTCTGACAGGGGGCTGGCTGGCTACCATGCCAAACCCTCACATTATTGCACCCCCTAAAAATACAGGGCAACACAGCCACAATTAATTCAAGTATATATTCTCTATTGAGGCTAGATTGTGGTGAAAATCAGAGAAGACTGTGGGTAAATCAGAGAAGCCCTGCTCACTTCAGGCTCACAGAAGCTTGTGAGAAGTTTAGATGCTAAAGTACTGCACGTGATAACGGACAAACACAGGGCCCAGAACTTCCTGATAACTACATACTTAAGTCATGAAACAGTCTTCCAGCAATCGAGAGGAGTGTTTTCCTGTGTTTGAAACAAAAGCCTCTTGAAAAAATGTTGTCATAAACACAAATAAATTCACTTGTTACCTCTTCAGTCCTTCTCTCCCCAGGGAATAAACATTTTTACCCACTTGTGTTTGTTGAAGTGTGTTTACCAGTCCTCTGCAACTTGTGCCTGTGTTCCAGCAATCACTTTCCTCTCTGTGCTCAATTTCCCTATAATTAAATCTCTGACTTATAAATCATATTGAAATCCCAAGGTGAAATGATAGAGAAGCACATAGTATTATTCTGCTTTTCGTAACAACTTCCTAGATCTGCTGCAGTAGAGAGGATGGAAATTTTTCTTCTAACCCTCTCAGTTACCTACCTGATGATACAATACTGTGACTGAATATAGCCCTGATTCCATGTGGGATCTTTGGGGAATAATTGTGAAGTGGACTGATATAGTGCAAAATGGATATTTTTGGTGAAAAAACAGTAGAAAAGCTGCTAAATAATGCTGGTGAATTGAACGATATGCTTAAAACTTACCTCTCACAAACCAAATAACTTGAAGAAAGACTACATAGATACCAGAAGGCATTTCAACACATGCACAAGATATGTGTTTTTTTTTACACACAGCTGTGAGGGAAGAGCATTATGTAATAATTTATAGATCATTGATAAGTGACATATAGCACAAGTATTGTAATGAAAATGGGAAAGGAGTAATTAAAATATAATTAATGATTAATTGATATGACAATATGCTTAATCAAATAAAGCAGGCATTATAAAGGGAACAGGGAAATGATCATCATAATGACCATCTCATGACACATTTTTTCCCAAATAATAGATGCATTACAGAAATAAAACAACCCAATGAGAGAAAATAACTACAATGAAATAATATTAAAATTTAGCATCATTTGTAGCAACTGCGTCCAGAACACCAAGGACATTGGAAAAGGAAAAAGGAAAGGATCTAGAACCAGGTAGGATTACGAGAGAAAATGCACTTTAGCTATTTTTAAACCATAAAGATCCTAAAAATAAGTTAAAAGAGAGAGAGAGGGAGAGGGAGAGGGAGATGGGCAGTTTTGTTCTTACCTGTCAAAGTACTTCTAAAGCACACAAATGGTCCTTGCTTTGAAGATGCTGCTCCACACCTCAAGTTTCCTAGAAGATTATGACAGACCAGATAGTTTAATTCATATGTTCACAAAGGTTTGGAGCAATCATGTCCTAAATATTTAGTATTGTATGAGTTAATTTAATAGGGGCAAAATGCTAGTCTCCCTTTTTTAAGTAATGTTAAGCTCACTGGGTAAACAGAAGACACAATAAATCTGGTATGACTTTTAACATTGTCTCACAGGACATTTTCACAGACTCATACTTTAAATACAACTAGTGGAAAGTGTGTAGGCATCTGATAGAAGAAAACCACAGTGGTCATCAGTGGTTATTTATCAAAATGCAAAGGCATGTCAGTTGGTACCTCTCAGAGTCTGTCCTAACCCCTGTTTTGCTTTGTATGTTCAGAGACAGCTTTGGTAACACACTATTTATGCTTGAATATCTGTATTAAAGAAACCCTGATAATCTCAAAACAACAGCAGGGGACGCAAACACTAGGAAGGGTGAGATCAGATTCCCCAAATACTATTGACAAATTGGACAGATTGCCCAAAAATCAACAAGGAAAAAAACAGTAATGAGAAATGTAAAATATTATTCTTCAGAAACAGACATCAGTAAACATTGTGAATTCCTGACAAGTCAGAAATACAGCAAAAACACATCTTAGGGTTACACGTATAACAAACAGTATAAATCAGCGATGCAGTGCCACTGCCAAAAAATTCATTTCATTCTGGAATGCATTAAAAGGTGTGTCACAAGGAAGACAATTTGTTTCATTTCTAAGCTTCACATGGTACTGAAGCCCCAAGTAGCACACTGCATCTCATTTTAGCTGAACACCTTAGAAATACAAACACAGCTGAAGAGAAACAAGAAAATAACAACAAGAACAAGAAGTTTATAAAACAAACCCTACAAGAAAAAGCTGAAGGAATTTAGATTAGCTTAGTCAAGAAAATAAGCTCCAAGTAGATGCAGCTTTCTGATACATAAAAGCTCGCTATAGAGATGGTGATCAGCTATTCTCTATGGCTCCAGTAGAAAGGCATGAAAGAGTCAACTTGATTTCTGACAAGAAATACTTAAAAGATTTTGCTAATCAGCATTCCAGCTAAGCATTTTTTTAAACACTGCAGCAGACTGTCTAGAGGCACTGTGGAATCAATTCCATTGGATTTTTTTTAAGAACAAAATTGGATAAACTTGCTAGTGCTGGCCTTGATATAATTAATCTGGATGTGGTACAGGTTGAGCTAGGTGGTCTTTTGGGATCTCTTCCAAACCTCCAGTTTCACAATGGATATAACTCAAAAAAAATTTAACTGGAAAGATCAATACAAAGTCTACATTTTGGTTGTTCAAATTCTGCTGTACTAATGGGCTTCCTTAACTAAATAGAAAATCCAGGAAAATAACAAGTTGCTCCCTACCGAGCTCCACATTCAAGATAAAATGACAGTGCCGTCAGACTGTGGGATTTTTCAATGGCCCTTTTAATTTCTATCATTATTCTACTGCTACATTACCCATACCAGTTCCCTCTTCAGTGTCACTAGTGAACCAAAGAGGCTGTAGCTTGGAATGCCCGATAAGATAAAAATGAAGATTTTACCCATATGGAGGAAGATGCAGATATGCAGTTGGGCCTCAGAATTCACTGTTGTACATAAAAAGAAAGTTTGATTTTCCAAAGAGCTGAGGGGCCTGCAGCTTTCACAGCTGGTGACCTAGTTTGTAAATGATGGTCTCTGTGTTAAATACATTAAATGAAATGTTAGCATTGATTTATATTTTATGCTATGCTATCGTTTTTTCCCTTGTTGCCTTTCCTGAATTTTTCTAGCAGTAGCACCACTACTTTGAACCCAGATGTCCTTTTAGATGTCATAAACATTCCAGTCCTGTCAGTACTGTCCTTTATGCTGTTTCTCAAGTTGAAGCCACTTACTGTGAAGACAACAGTAATCCATATGTTGTCTTCTGCGGCTTTACCACAGTAGTTTTCATTTGCAACAAAACAAAATTCAGGTTATCAAGTCAGAGCTCATGAACTACTTCACGTTCTCAGCCTTTTGTCTATTTACTACCTTCTAAACAGTCAAATTCCAATTTATTTGAGGGAAATTTGTGACCATCTAACAGACAACTATTAATTCTACTTTATGGTGCAGAACAGCAAAACTAAACATTACATTAAATGGCTGCACTCAGAAGCTGAGGCACAAAGAATCCTGCAAAAGTCACTACGTAATTTAATGACCCAAGTGCAGATTCATCTGAAAGCTCTTTTATTTATTTATTTATCTACTGACACTTGATGGAGAGGTGCAAAAAGCCCCAAGTAAGTAAATTGACTCTCAAATCAGGAGGAAAAAAAGCAAACCAAACCTTCCTTCATGTTTTGTTTGAGACAGTAGCTCTTCCTGGGTGTCCTGCAAGCTGGTTCTGCTCTTTCTTTTGCCAGTTCCTTTACATCCTCTATGTAAAAATAATGCAAATACACCCTCTTCTATTCCTGATTGGACTCCTCCCTGCAGTGAAATGGCAATTACCCAGGCCTTGCACAATGTCTGCATTGCAAAGGTAGCCTGTGGCCTAGCCTTAGGAAGAGCACAGTTTAATACCTTGACTCTGGCACAGAAAAAAAAAAAAAAAAAAAAAAAAAGAGAGAGAGAGAGAGAAAAAGGAAGAGCTTAAAAGAAAAATGTTCTTTTAAAAGCTAGCAGTAGAAGACTTCAATTTGAAGGCAAAAACCTAACCACCTTTATTCTCCAAACATATTCAAATGGATAAGCAACAAGTTGTGGCTCCTAAAGTAATTCTTGAATGCATAGAGAAGCATTTTCCAAAGAACTGAGGACGAGGACTTTTCTTTGATTTCAGGCTCTTAATGTGGTTTGTAATCAATAGGTTCCGAGTTCAAACAAAAAGTTTGTGGTGGAACTCTGGAACTCAGTCACACAATCAGAAAGAAAGGTGACCTTACATCTCAGTACAAGGAATAGCTTTGATGGGCTGAGCTTTCCTTCCTCAAAAAAGCAGAGTACCTGAATTGGGCCCGCAAGAGAAACAAGGAGCCATGGGAATAGATGTGAAAGACACAAACAGATCTTTCCTTCAGCTCACAAACCTTTCTTGTTTGCAGAAACCCAGCCACTATGGAGATGAGTGACATGTAAAAATGTAGACAGACAGATAAAGAGTGTTTTCTTTCTTGAAGATGATTCAGTTCTAATACTTTACTGGCATGATGAGTTAGGCAAGTACTGCCAGCATGCACAAGATATAACCCTTGAGCCTTTCTGATAAGAGATACTACATGTCAACCATCTGCTCTCCTATCAGGTGGCTGAATCAGAGACGCCTCTTAACACCTCTCCCTCTTTCATATTAGCTCTTGATAAATGTGAATGAGGGAACAAATTAATTGCTTCTTACCAGCACCAAGTGAGACCTGAATAAAGGCACAGGTGGGAGCAAGATCCCAGAGATGTACACACCCTCCACCTCTGAGATCAGCTGCCCACACGTATACACACATGTCCAATCTCCCTCCCAGCCATGTATACTCACATCTATGTCATTGCGATTTTAGGATTTTAGGACACTTAAGTATTACACTTTTAATACTATTCACCCTAATATTCTGGGAATTCTAGGTAGTGGGGGTTTGTGTATTGCAATTTAGGCTTTAATTCAGGTCAGCAAATGTTGATAGAAACTTAAGGACTTTAGCAAGCACAGAAGTATGCTTTTGATGCACAGTGAAAATTTTGTCACAGAGAGTGCAGGTTTCTCTTTCACATAACTTAGACCACACTGAATATGATTAGTAAATACCAGAAATGTACTCCAGTCACAGAGCTTGAGGGAAACTCTGACGCATACCTAAACTTCAGGAGTGTTCAAGGAGCAACTCTGCTTTCGCTGCGTAAAGTTTAATGTGTAAAGAATTGGAGACTTAAAGAAAGTTTCTGACTATCTTATGTGTTATTATGAATTTCAAATGGAGAATGGTCAATCTATTTTTCTGTTTTAGAAACAAGCACAATAAAGTCAGAAAATCAAAAGCAAAATTTAAATACATTCCTCAGATAAAACTTAGTATCTTAATTTGCTGGTTCAGTCTCCTTTGGCTTATCTTCTCCCTCAGTAAGTGATTTGCATGCCACCTTTTCTATCTCCCATCTATTGCTTCTCAATATATCTTCCTAAACTCTCCAACCACTATATAATCTTCTGGTCTCTATCTTCTCTTTTGGTGACTCCACAAAGCTGTTACTCCTGAAAACACCTCAAGTATTATGTAGCAGAAAGGAAAGAACATTCTTCACTTTGTTGTCTTAGATTACTGCGTGAATGACTGGCATATCAGTGTGTGCTCTCACTAAAAAGAACACTGACTTCAGCTCTTGCATAGCTGCAATGTTCTGCAGTGCTCCCTCGCAATAGCCCTAATAAATACTCAGGCTCTCTTTTACGTACCTAAAAAGTAGAGCTAAGGATTCTTTTGCAAGAGTTTCACAACTTTAATGAATCTATGATTTTCACTTCCTCGGCTATTTTTTCCTTGTTTCCATCATTTGATCTTCCCTGTAGATGTTGTAAGCCTTCTGTCTTACTTACTTCCAGACTATTTTGAATGTGCTAAGTCTCTGTACTGCAGATAGGAATTTATGTCCCTTTCCCATAAGAGATGGCCAGTCCAGCTGTCAGAGTAACTGCTTCACTTCAGCCTAAGAAGCAACAGCTCATTTCCACACAGACCTGTCCCTTCTCTTGTGTGTGTATAAACACAAACAGAACTTCATTTACTTATTTTATCACACAGACACCTGGCCCAATAGACGATACGCTCTAGATGCTTAAGTTTGCAAGAAGCATTCAACAAGCAGAAAAAAAGAATGAAAATTGCAGGCCTTCTTGAGTTACCCCCCAGGATGAGCTAAGCCTTGGCTGTCAGAAATGTTTTCCAGGCCAGGATTTCTTACTGATATTTATTTTTACCAGGCATTTTAGACTTTTTTTTTTTTTTTTTTTTTTTTTTTTGGTGTGTGTGTGTTTGGCATGAGAGATCCTGAAAACTCTGCCAGAAATGGCTGTTTTTCTTCTCTGCATCATTAGTGGGGCGGCATTCCAGCAGAGAAGGGTCAGTCACTTGGTACATAAGTATTTTTAAAGATGTTGTCCTTTCCTTCCTGAAGAGATAATGGGAACAAAAACTGAAGGAGAGTCTTTCAACAGTTTGCTGTTACAAAAAAAAATACAAATTTGCTTACTAACGTCAAGCTCAAAAACAACTAAAATTTGGACAACACATATAATACATGACAGGAATCTACCATACCACCTAGAGCTACCCTTGACTGTAAAATGAAGATGCAGCCTCCATAAGTCACAGAACCTGTCATAATAATATTCCTTCTTCTCATAAGCAGATCATCCAGAATATAAAACTACTCTCATGACCAACAAGTAGAAGAATGTTTCACTTTTTTTTTTTTCTCTAAGAACTTACATTTAAAATATAAGCATCTCACAACTTGATTAAACCTAAATCCTCAGGTGAACATAAAGTTTATCAGCATAGAGAGACCTCAAAATTACATCAGATCTCTACTTTCTTTCTGTCCACCAGTTCAAGGAACAAGACAAAGTCTCAGTGATCCAGACTAAGGATTAGCAGGTAAACTACTAGTAAAGAAGACATAAATCATGTTCACAGCGTAGTCTCCTGCGTGTTTATGACACCTTACCAGTTAAGTATATCCTTGACTTAAGAATTCCAGGTATAATTACATGTATCGAACTTAAGCCCTTTTAATGGTACAAATCCTGGCAGTTTAAGAGAGCTGCTGCTGTCATCATATCCTATCCCTAGCTGCAAAACACAATGTTGTTTCTAGACTTCATTTTGTGGCAGACGTAAGGAGTGAGAAACTGTGAATTTTATTTCTCTAACATCTGTTGGCCTTAAAAACAATCTAAAACCCATCTGGTTGCCTAGGTTTTACATGCAGAGGTAAATTAGTATTAATACTATCTTATTAGGGAAAAGTGACAGCATTAATTGTTGTGCTAAACTTCTGTGCTGACTGTAAACTAGATAAACAGTTCATTCAGCATGAGGAGGCTCAGAGCAGGATAAGCACTGGGAGTACTGGATCTTTCTCTGTAAATGTCTCCTGAGGAATCAACAATATGAAAATACAGATTTCATCACATAATTTCATTGTGGTTTTGGCTGACCTTTTTATTTAAGATAATCTTATTTTTAGTGCATGTGTTTAGAGAGTTTGATCATAATTCATACATATAATTATTAAATCAGAAATTAATTGGGAGTTTTTTTATGAGTTTGCAACTGACTCACAAATGAATCATCCAGCTGCAGCACCAATTATTTTTCAAATGTCTTGCATAATAGAATCCTAATCTCATTTACAAGATTTCCAATAATTTACATAAAAAATAGTATGTGAAGATCTTATTCCCCATTCCTTCAGATCGCCCTTCAAAACTTCTCTCTGCTATGGTGCCTAAAACAATAGATCATCAATAAAAATTGACAGCTGTTTTCACTCAGTGTTTTCTCCTCTCACTGTGATTTGTTTTTCAGGTGTCTTCAGATAAATATGTTTTGTTATCCCACCAGCAATTTTCTTATTTCTCACGTACTAGGTAAAGCTCAGTTGGCAAATATACGGGAGACCTCAAAAAATACAAAGCACCACCAAATCCCCCAAAGTCCTGCACAGTATAGGCTCTTAGCTAACTCTTCTAAAATAGGACAATGCTTTGGACACTCAGAAGATAAACAAGAAAGTCTACAGACAGTTTCCTGGTGTTTCTTGTGAAACTTGCTTACATGAATAGAAGTTGAACCTGGAACAGGACTGAAGAAGGACTGAAGACTCCCCACAACCTAGTTCTTTGTATGTTGTAGTTGTAACCTTTAAAGCAACAGTTTCCAACTGCTTCCTGAAGAAAAAAAAAAAAAAAAAAAAAAAAAAAAGTTACATTTTTGCTTCCAATACCACTATGCATTACTGTAAATACTTTAGCAACAATTGTTAAAATTCTAAGCAAATAAAATATTTCATTCCAAGAACAATTAATAGAAGCCAGACAAAATGACTCAGTCTGTTTAAAACAAGGCATTTCCTCTGGAATTTGTTGCTTGATATCTAGTCCTGTTTATTATTCTATACAATAATCTCTCTGAATTAGGAGCTGTCTCACAGAACTCTGACTAATTAAAAAAAAAAAATCAGAAGAACTTTGATAGTATCATTTAGAACAGTGACCATAAAAACAGCAAAGATTAAACAACACAATTAACACAGTGGGTGCAAAGTATGTGGGAACGGAGAAGACAAATCTGATTTAAGCTAAATTGATGAGAAACTCTTGTAAAACTGAAACAGGAAGGAGTTTTCCAGTCCATGCATCATAACGTAATAGAGATATTTTCTTTCATGATATAATTTAAATTATGCCACTGACTATTTTCAAACTTGTGAACACATGGTCTCTTATAAAAGCAAATTACCCCTATTTACCTAAAGGTATGACTTCTGAAGGCCTTCCAAAACCAGACTTTGAAGTGAATTAAGCTAAATCAAATCAAGGTCACTTTAACTCTGAGAGACGGTGTTCACAAAATATATCAGTGTAGTCCAACTGATCTTCTTGAAAGACTGATTTGGATTCCCAAATGCTGGTAGACGAACTCAGCACATTTAGTTAAAAGATGCAAGCATCACCGTTTGCCAGGGTGGATGGTAACCCTGAGTCTACTCCCTATGTTTGTCCTAAAGCAAGACCTGTACCCCTGATTATCCACTGAGGAGCTGCTGACAGAGAAAACTACTGCTTTTCATTGTCATTCTTCCAGCTGGGTCCAAAGGAACATTAACCTCCTGTTAGAGGGCTGTTCTTCCTGGAGCAGCTATTAAACTTGCAGATGTTTCCCACTGATCCAGAAAAGCCTTCTCAATTTAAAAGAGCTTTTTATTAAAACACAATAGTCTTGGGTTCAAGGATGAATATGGGAAAGCAATACCCATGGCCAGGCTGGCAGCATTTCTCCCTTTTCAGGTCACAAGCTTGAGAGAACAGGTGAGTGCTGCAGCTGATTGGTTATATCACCTAATCCTGGCTCTGGCAAGCCCAGAAAGAAATTATAGTAAACAGGGAAGTTTATAAATGGCTCCAGAAATGACGTCTTGTTTTTATATATTTTTCTTTGAGTCATTAACAGTCAGGCGCCACTACTGCTGAAACTTATCATTATTACAACCACAAATGGGCTCAGTGTCCAAAAGGATTCCCTGAGCTAGCTTAAGGGAAATAACATAGTCCAATCCATAGAGACCAAACCGTAACAAGAAAAAAAAAAAAAAAATCCCAGGGAAAATGCAAAATAGAAATATTATAATGTAGTTGTTAAAAATGGACGTTAAAAGCATCTTTTAAATGAGCGCTCCAGAAATTGATCAAGGAGAAATTGTGTTTTACAGAAATGGGTTAAACAACAGAAAAGAATTAATGAACCTGTGGAAGGCTCCAACCAGCACAGCTGACTGGGAATATAGAAGAGGAAAGTCTTCTAGATTTGGGTTTTAAATACCAGTAAAACTGCCTGGATGATTGTAAAGGACTGCTTGTGAAAACAGATCTTGACACCAGTTTTAGAAGCACAAGAACTGTGTTCTTAAACGTAACGATCACAGGGGGTCTACCAAATGACCCCCTCCTCTCCAACAGTGGCCTAGAAGCAGACACCTCACTGCAAAGTGCCTGAAACCCTAAAGTGAGCAGTTATGGAATAGACCTCATGTTAGGAAAAATCTTTTCCAAAACCCCATTAGTCAGATAATTGCCTTCACCACGAAGTTCATGTTCCTCCAGTCACTGTGCTCTTTTTTTCCCCCTGTATGCTTTTATATGTAATAACATAATCCTGTATTTTCTCATTCTGTGTAAAAACGTCTACTTCCTTTCTAAATTCTGCTGAATTCTTGGCTCCAAAAATATCTTGCATCAATGCAAGATACATTCTGATTTTATCTGGTATCAAAATCTCTCTTCTTTAAATTTATAGCCTTTAAATACACAGAACTAAACATGTAAACTGCAAAAGTGGACACATGATTTTTAAAATGAACTTCATTGTAGCACAAATAATTTTCAATAATATTGTCATTTGATATGTTTAACGATCCTCTTTGAGACAGTTTTATCTTTTATCCAATCACTCTTCATACTGGGGTGTCTCAGTCTGTTTCTTACATTATTCTCACTACTTAGCTTTCAAATATTTATATCTAAGACCTTTTAAAGACTGAACAAGACAAATACAGCAGAAAGGTCCAGGCAATTTGGGGGTGTGGGGTTATGTGGAATTTAAGTAGGTTATCTATAACATCCTATTTGCTCTCTTGACTGTACTTTGAGTAGAAGTTAAAGCTGAGTTTCCAACAGCGACACAGCTTTTTGTTTTTGTGGAGTAAAGGCTTGCATGCACATGTAAATGGTTTATTTAATTTCTGTTCTTTTGCATCTGTCATTAAAAACATAACACTTCCCAGTTCTTCTTTTGGAACTCCTGGGATTACATCCTGGGCTGGGCTTTTTCTAATGCTGATGCAAGAAAAAACTGCAAAGGCATTGGGAAATTTCAGCCCTATCAGCTTCTGGAGAAAAGGCACCCAGCAGAGCTGCTCAGAGCTTTTCTGTTACTTTCTGCTCTCCTGTGAGCAATGGGTAATGCCCGATGCTCCCCGTTCCCTCCTCTCTGGAGAACCAGAGCTGCCAAAAACCAGCCTGGGAGCCAAGCAGCAGTACTGATAGACCGATGTAACCGTAAGGGGCCTCCATGGTCACCCTGCTCAGGCCTGGCTCTCTGGAACAAGGTTGCTACATAACGCCTTTCAGTGACTTATTTCCACTGACCTTCAACTTTGGATCTTTCCCCCCACAGCTGTAGCACAAAACATCCAGCAGCTCCCTGCTCTTAGGCACCTTCTGGTTTCCAAATTGAACCAGAACGGCTTTATACGCCTTCACTCCTTGTGCCATTTTGGCTCTTCAGCCCTTCTCCCTCTGAGGAGTCCCCAGGCATCCGCAGCCCAGGCCATCACCCCCGGCCCCTTCCTCAGGGCATGGCCGCCATGTCAACCCCAGCCCCCTCCTCAGGGCCGGGCCGCCATGTCAACCCCAGCCCCTTAGGGCAAGCCGTGCCGTCACTTCGCCTTCCACAGCCCCTTCCCCTGAGGCGGCTCACGCCCTCCCAGCCTTTCCCTCAGCCCCAGGCCGGTGCCGAGCGCCGGGCGGGTGCAGTGTGACCGCCGTGGCCCCGCTGCAGGCGGTGGGGCGAGGAGCCCCCGGCCGAGCGCTGCGGGGCCCGGAACGGTGGCGGCGGCGGGGCTCGTTCCCAGCCGGGGCCGGCGGAGGAGCAGCGCCGGGCCCTGAGCGTCGGGAGCCTTGGAAACGGGCGGAAACCGTCAGGGAGCGGCGGCGAGAGGATGCTGAGCCCCGAGCGGCTCTCGCTGCCGGGGCCCGAGTACCTGGGTGAGGAGCGGGGCGGCGCGGAGGGGCTGCCCGGTGCCTGCCCTCCCCGCCCGGGGCGAGCCCCTGAGGCGAGAGGAGGGGGCTCCGTGTCCGCCATCTCGGCTGCTTGGGGCTTGCGGGTGGGGAACGGGGCTCTTGTACCCCTCAGGGTGCCCCTCTTAGACCAGTGGGTGCCATCTCCCTGCAAGCTGGGCTGGGCTGAGGAGGGTGGGCTGCCACCGCCTGCCCGCATCCTTGGGCTGTGGGGGTGGCGCGGAGCAAGGTGCTTCTGCCCCTGCCCCCCTGTAGCCCATCCAAAGTCCTCTGTGAGGGCTTCTGGAAGTCCTCTGTTTGCCCTCTGTGAAAGCAACCCTGGTTTAGGCTTGTTTTGCAATGTCAGATCGGGTGCTGCTCTTAGGTTGTGAGGTGGTTTGGGCTAGGGCCTGAGGTGGTTTGGGTGTTAGCCTTTCTTCTGGAATAAAGGTGGTGTTTCCTACTGATCTGTGCCCTGTAAAATGGGAATCTTTTCACTCATAAAGCAGCTGCTCCCTTACTGACTGCAAACTTTGAAGCTCTAGCAGTTTGTGTTGCTACTACTCGATGTTCCAGTAAACTAAGGAGCAAAGGGATTAGCTGTTAGTACATCAAGAAAAATAATTATGGTGGAAAAAAAGTCAATATGACTTCGTTTAATTGCTAAAGAGGAGATGAATTGCAAGTGGTAAGCATTTGGAACACAAACAAATCAATATTTTAAAAGTGAAATTCTTCAGCCATCACTTTCTAGGCCTGAGATGCTGTTTGGTAACAACTGTTAAGATACACATAACTTACTGGAGCTTTCTTATACAAGAAAAGGTAAGAAACGTCATCTATTGGTTTGTGGTACGTATTCCACCATGATTTTGCCATCTCTGGTCAGTCAGAATGGGACAAGGCTAGAAAACATCACTAGCTTCCAGTAAATGGAAATCCAGTCCTACAGGGGGGAGACTACAAGAACTCGGTTTCTTTAGCCTAGCGCTGGAGCCAATGAGTAGGGATCTGACCCGTCTTTCAGAGTGCATCATGGCAAGAAAGAGAGCTGAAGTAGTTAAGCAGAGGAGTGATGTAGGTCCTCTCAGAATAGAATCTCATGCTTTTGCTACTAGGCCATTACTGGGATGCTTTGTGCATCCCCCTACGTGACCACGGTGCTGTTCTGCATTAAGGAAACTCAAGGCAGAAATCAGAGGTTTAGTTCTCAGGTCAGGATGATTCTCAGGAGATCCACTTTGGATCTTACTACTGATTTCAATGTTGGCGCTAGTTCAGGTATTTGAGAACAATATCACGGCGTGCCGTGTAAATACACCCTTCAGTTGTGTACTGCTCTATCACACCATGTCAGCATTTTCAACCTACGCATTAATAGAGGTGCTCATAACTTTTCCACAGAGTTGCTCTAGGCTGAAACTTGCAAAATTTCTTTCTTTTTAATGAGCCAACTTGGTTTTAGGTTCGTTTAATTGTTTTTAATGAAATCGGCGCTTAACTCTTACTCGTGTGAAACTTGTCAGTAAGGACTGAATCAGTCAAAACAATCTAGGAGGCAGACTAAAATAATCTTAGAGAGTGAGGAGAAATAACCAGCTTTCTGTTTTACACCTGAAGCTGAGAAGTGAGACTTCTGAGAGGTGTGTAACATTGCATGGTACAAGCAGCATTATTAGCCTACTTAAAGTGAGCCTCCTTTTATCTCTGTTCTACTTGCTGATCTACCCTTCCCTTTTCATTTTGTAAAACCTAAATTTCTGTGACATTTGGGTTAGGTGAAGACACACAGGAGCATGCAGGTTGAGCAGTAGCTTGTATAAGAGCTTGTTCTGTTGCTCACATAGCGCATCCTTCTGTTTAAGTTACAATCTGTCCTCTATTAGAGAGAAAGCGTCTGCCATGCAGGGGTGTTTTCATTGGCCATAAATGTCATCAAGAATAATTGTTTTGTCTTCACAAGACTTTGTAACTTACCAAGCCGCTCACACACAAAACAGAATGAATTTTGTGTTCACAGTGGGGAATTGATAAAAACTGTTTTTATAAGATGCTTTTTAGTTTTCTGCATTATTTGGCATTCTGAAATCACCGTTGGTTGGATTCATCCTATTGTGTTCCTCAAAGTCTTGTTAATATTGTTGTCTGATGTGGGGTTGTAAGCAACTGTGATAAACAAGTTTCACATTCTGTAATTTCATTCTGAAATTGTGTTGCCCCAGGCTGCCACATGAGGTATTCTTTGAGTCTCCCAGATCAGATGGCACTCTGTCTTTCCTGGCCTGGAATGGGTGAGCTACACCTAACCTCTTTTCCCTCCCTTCTCAGAACTGAAAATAGTCAAACAAATAAAAATGAGTGGCCAAAATAACCTTGTGTTACTTGCTGTGTTCACTTTTACCTTAAATATGGAAAAAAAAATATTTTGTGTCCGATTTGGATGCTAAGAGTACTACACAGTTGGACATATTCTAAGGGGAAAAAAGCAGTTGTGAGTTAAAATAGAAATAAACATGGAGAAGTGAATCAAGCATTCTCTTAAAATGAAAAATAAATGCAAAGCTTTGGTACAGCAGAGCTCCTGGAAAATACAAAACTCAGGCCATAGTGACCGCAAGACAGCAGGTAAAGAACAGAGGTGACTAGAATTGACAGAATAGGAAAGGAAATGAGGTCTGCAAAGTTGGCACAAAGGCTACAGCGAAGAAGTTGTAACAAGCAGGATATTTTAAACAGCGTTTTCACTGAGTAAACAACATTTAGTGTTTGGGGATAGTGATGAAAATGTGTTTTACATTTGATGGATGAGACTAGAACTACAGTAGGCAAAATGAGGCCTATTTGAGACACTTTTCCATGCCTTCCTCATTATGGTTTAATAACTGGTGATTGCTTGGTTATTTATAGCAGGCAGTGGAGCACTTAGTGTATTGTTCTACTCATGCAGCTGTCTTCTGAAGCTTCAAATTGTATGTTTCCCCTCCTCCTCTGTTATAAAGAAAGTGCTGAAGATTATTGCAAATTTCTGAACTTTTATTTTCCCCTGGATTCTCCCGCTTTTCACTTGCCAGCTCCAGGATGTTGTTTCTTTTCTTCCTCTGCCAACATAAGACATGTAAGAACATAAATATTCTGTTAGGGAAATGCCTTCTTGGTAAAGCATGGGGCTACCGAGTGCCAGAAACAAGGTCCTGTTTCCTCATCTCTCTCTTAAGAGGGCTTGAGCTTAATGAGTTGAAAGAACATTCATGGCATTGGTGCTTTTACAAAACCAAGGGCAGCTTCCAGCAGAGAACTTCAGTTGTGCAGATACTTTGCACACAACCAGGGTTTACTCTTTCTGAACAGTCTTGGACTTCCAAACTCAATTTTCCTGAGCACAATTTCTTCACCAGCATATTCAGCATACAGATTATATTGGTATCCAGACATCTCAGCCCATGCTGAATCTCCTCTTCATCGAGGTATCTGACAAGCTTGTGCAAAGCACTCTGGCTGAAAAAGCTTGTGGTCTAAAAAGCGAAAACAATGCAATGCTTTTTTTTCCCCCCTTCTTTTTCTTTCTTGCTCTGTTGTATGGATAGGAGATCTATAATGTGGAGTATGAATGACCTCCTCACTGATACATTCAAGTTTGAATGTAAAAATGATACATTAGAATCTTCTAAGATACTAGCAGTTTCTCCAAAATCTAGGACTTTCTCCAAGATTGCAGTTTCATCCCCAAACCTGCTGCTGCGCTTCAGGACTTCCGCCTTAGCTTGAAGGGCATAAGGGAAATCTGAGACTGAGCTAGGGAGATTTCCAGAACTGGAGAGCATGTGAGTATGAAGAGGTAGGGAGCCACTGGGTTATTTAGTGTCCTATGAACAAGCTGGAATGATGATTACTTCCACAGTGTTAATAATGTACTGCATAAACTCAGATTTTTTTTTATTATTTTGTATTTTTTTAATAGCTCAATAGTTTTGCAATGAAGAGGTGGTGATTCCCAGCAGCTGTACTGTGTCTTGCAGGAGGTGGTTGCTGGAGGGACTTGAGCAGTGGAGTCGGTCTGTGTGTGGTCTGAGGATGTGTGTGCAAACTGAAGGAGGGTAATGTCATGGTTTGCAATTAATATGCTGATTAATTGTTTGAGACAAATTTTCAGTTATGGTCAGGATTAACCTATAAACTGAAACATTTCTTTTTGTTGTTGTTGTTGAAAGCAGTTTTGAAACTGTAAACGTACAAAATACAATGTGTCCTGTTGCCTTTTAGCGTGCTTTCGTGAATGGCGGTGTCTCCCATCCTAGTGTTTATTTCTGGTGCGACCAGGTCTCTTTGCACTTTGCCACACGTTCTGTCCTTTAACCCCATTTTTTTTAGGGTTAATAGGAAATTTTACTGCCAAGCTGGAAGGAACCACAGCTGTACAGTGATTTAGCTTTTAGGTTGATTGTTTTGTTTACATACTTCTCTTGCTCAATCCTTTCCTTGGGGATATCTGAAGAGATTAAGAATAGCATCCTGAAAGACCATTAATGCTGGAAAATCTTCCAGAATTTGTTATTTTGTTCTTGCAATTTGTATCCTTGCTAATTCCTTCTCACATCATTATTGTTCCTTGCATGAAGCTGGTTTGGTGTAGTCGTAGATGTCTCTTTCCAAAAGTCAGTAATACAGCAGGCTCCTTAGTTAAGCACCAATTTAGAATAAATTCGGAAAGTGTACTTAGCTGATACTTTGTACACTCTTAGAGATTTAGAAATGCAGAAAATATTTCAAGTGTGTTAAAGCTTATACTGCTTTTGAACTTCTGATAACTGAAATGAGTTGCAACGTTAATTGCATCGAAGAGTGTGTATTTTCAGCACTTTAGTCGAGGAGGAGGCAAATAATTAATAAAAATTGGTCTTATTATCCAGGAATTCTCGCTCCTGATTTTTCAAAATATTCTGCTATGCTAGGAATGAACCAGCTAGGGGAAAAATAATAATAATAATAAAAAAAAATTGATCATTTGGTTGGACTTACCTCTGCTCTAAGGCTCTGTTCTGCTGCTTCTTTTAACAGGATGTGCCTGGTGGCCTGTCCTGATGTGTGTTTCACTATCCTGTGTGAATTTATTCTAATCATAGTCTTCCTTCAGTTTTATTTTTCTCTTTGCAGCTTCTGCTGCTCTTTTTATTGCATCTTCTGGCCACCCCATGTTTCCTAGTCCCTTTGTTTATGACATGCAGTAACACATTCTGTTAAGCATGCTGGTATATTTATCTTCAGTATTATTATTTTTCTATATGCCATCTTAGAAAAAGTAAACTTACTGGAAATAGAAGCTAATTATTAATGTAGTGATAGGGAAATGCACCTAAGCTGTAACAGTAGGTAGCTAATATGCAGAAGCAGCATGGTTAACTCCATCGTGTTGCCAGTGTGTGCTGAAGCAGATGTTACGCAACTCTTGTGAACAGTGCTACAGCGCACGTAAGGTCTTAATCCTCCTGGTTCCTGAGCACTACCAGTAATTAAAAAAAAAAATAAAATACATAAATGCAATATCATTACTTAAAGGTGACATGTATTTCCTTCCTTGCTCCTGAATTTCTGACTTTGAGAATTTCAAGACACATATTCTGTTTCATGTATTGGTATTATTTGCATTCATTTTTCCTTTTCCTTCAAGATTTTTTTCAAGTATCAATGCTTGTTCTTAGCATATTTTGTAATCAAGTCTACAGATTACCAGGACTGTTTGTTCTCATAAGCAGACTGAAAGAGGTCGCTCACAGACTTAGGAAAGGACTGTTTTTAGTACATGATTTGGTACTGTTACAGCTAAAGGGAATTAGTTGGGGTCATGTAAACTGTTGTAGCAGAGTACACAGAGAATGTGGACTGACTGTGGATGTAATCCTTGTTTGCCTTTTTCTTGTAAGCTGGAGGAAACTTGTATGACCTGGTCTGGCCATGCTTGAGTTGAACAGCCACTATTCAACCCTGAACTTGGTTTTGAGCCAGAGTGCCTTAATTCCAAAATTCACTTTGAACCTTGAGCATGTGAGTGATGGTGGGGTGTGGGCATGTTTGGGGAAGAGCTCAGCAAATACAGGTTGCGTGATCCATTACCTAGGAAGGTTTTGTATGAGCAGGGAGAAGAGCTTTTGTTGGAATAAGCCATAAACAATAAATGATGAAGGTAATGTGCATGGAAGCTCCAGTATACAGGAGTCCTATCAGGAAGGAAATGAGCAGGGAGAGCAAGCTGTAATGGCATTGTTGAATGAGTATTTGGGCTTTACATTCTGATTTGGACTTGTTGCCTTATTGCAAAGTTAACTTCAAAAGTATGAGCAATGACTATACCAATACTCCATCTCCCCAGATTTTCAAAGAATCTAAAACGTTGTTAAAAGCTATGAATCATCATGTTTATTTTGCACAGGACCCCATGGATTTTTAACTCTCTGCTCGCATAAATAGGTAATGTTGCGGTATCGTTCCCGTGTTTGTTATGGAAAGTACCATTTGTATAAATTATGGCACTCGTGTTTTGCTATAACCAGACTCCTGGCGTTTTATTTTGCCTCCCTGGCCTGCTAGAACCTGCCTGCAAATTAAGTTATATTCTATGCCTTTTTTTGTGTAGGATCGAGTTGGTCGGGCTATAAAACACCGCTCGTACCGTTCCATGAAACTAGGCAGCCAGAGAACAGGAAGCCAGAACTGGAATTTGGTTTGGCACCGTGAGCTGTGCTACCTGGAAAACAGCACAGTAGTCAAAGAGCCAAGGAGAGAGGCTTCTAAAGTAGATTGCAAGTGCTATTTTCTTTCAGCTTCTCTGCTCACTAATTTCTTCCCTCCCCTACTCCCCTACCTACCTTCTGGGAAATATGGAGAGAGGTTCTTTGCCAGGATCCGGAGACCATGCAGCAAAAAGCTTAACAGAAATATCCTTTGTCCAGGGACTGTATTCAGTAGTGACCCGTGCATATTTGTGTACACTTACGTGTGACAGAAATGGCTGAAATTCCATGCTGAAAGTTAATTTATTCTCCAGGAGCAGACTTAAAGGTCTTTGTTATAGAGGTCGGTCTTATTGTGTTGTGCAGCACTGTAGGACCGTGCCTGTTTATTCCCTTGGTCTTTTCGGGGAGAGGTTAATGACTCCAAGCAAGCCAAATAACAGAAATGTGTTTCACTGATAGGGGCTCTTCAACAAAAGGTGCGTATGCTTCCCCACGAGGTTTAGGAAATGGTTTTACAGTTGAGTGGGAACTCAGACAGTGCTTGCAGACCAACGTGAGTGGAAGGCTGGCTGCTAGTAGGGCTTCCTGGCTTAACCTGGTACCACTGACAGCCCACGAGGGGCCTGGGAAGACAGTTTCTGGGTGTAAGATGGGCTGCATAATGAAGAGGGAGGAAGGATGGGCTGGAATAAAGTTACCCAGTTGCTGTTATCTTAAGACTGTGACTGAGCTGCACGACTCATTCCTCCCTCAGGGGACACAGGTGCGCAGAGCTATTTTTCTTTAATCACTCACATAAATTAAATTTATTCCTTTGCATTAAAATAATTAAATAAAGCTACGCCCTGTATCTTTTAGTGCCAGATAATATCTTTGAACCTTTGGCTCACCATTTTGCTATCAGCTGCAAGGTATTTTCCAGGGTGTGCTTAACCAATTTTGCCATTGTCCTGAAAAGTGTTCTAGGCAGAGAAATCCCCTGATAGCAATCAATGTTCATACATACTTTTAATCGCTGTATCCACTGGGAATAATCACTTCCGGGCCTCTCTTGAAGTCCACCTGCCCCACACTAAGATGAAAGGGATTTCCACGCTGTGTATCGAGTGGCACAGGCTTGACGCTTACCAGGATATTAAGCACAAATTAAAATGGTTTGAAGAATATTGATGTGGGTCTGAGGTTGGCCAGTTGCTGGTTGAGGGGATGATGCTGCCAAGTCTGGAATAGATTGGCAAGGAGCAAGAACAGCCTTTGCCTTTCCTATATCCCCTGAGGGTTTTCTCCTGCTCTTTTTAGGACACGACACTACTTGCAAAGGTGCAGTAGCATACGTGTTTAGGATGGAGGCGTGTGCTTTGGGAACAGGGCTTGTGCGCTTTCCAGGTTAGGAACGATTTTCCTGGGTTCGTTGTGACTTGTCTTCTGATTGTTGAACTTGTAGATTTGGAAAGTCTTCTGCTTGCTAGCTGGCGCATCACCCCAGCCTCGGCTCTTTGTTGCTCCGAGTTGGTTTCCAGCCAAAAACATCAAAGGCTCGCAGTGGCAAATCCGCGCTGTTTCCTCCCTGGCAAGCGCTTGACTTGTACAGAGTCTGCCCCCTGTAGAAGCAGCAAAATGGTTTGTCTTGTACCAAATTACCTTAACTCAGAAGCGAGCGGGGTTCTGTGGTTGGGCTCTGGCAGATGTGCCTCTTCTGAAATCTCCTTGCGTTTGGTTAGGCAGTTACTTGAGATTGACTGTTGAGCAATATAAATCTCTCTTGGCACTGAGAACTGTTCCCCACCTGCCACTCCAAGAACATTCATTGATGCTTGCGTGAAAGCAGATGTACTTTTAGTTGCACCTTTAGGAAAAAATCTTTACAGAACAACCTTAGAGCTACTTGGCTTCGTAAGCAGGGACGGGTGGGGAACACGTAAAGCTCTGCAACAACCCCATTGATACAGCATTGATGATCTGTATGGGAAAGATGGTTGTGACTCGGAACAGAGATCAGGAGTAAGCATTTTCCAGCAAGGCAGACAACTCCATTGCATCTGCAACTTCCTTTGCTTGCAGAATCTCAGGGGACTTAAAAAAGGGTCCACACTGTTAATGACTACCTCTGTGTAGCCAGGAATGAAAGCAGTGTTTAAGTGAGGAGTTCTACTATCCATATCTAGCAGAATTAAAGCTCTGCTCTCTAACTGAAGGAGCAAATGCTTATTGGTTTGTTTTTGTAAGGCACAGAGTGAGGCTAGTCTGGCTCTGGGCTTTGCAGGCCCCCTTGTATTCTAATTTCTCTCCCTTACTGTCTTTTATTTGCAGCTCAAAGACATGTCCTCACGTACATGGAGGATGCAGTGAGCCAGCTGTTGGAGAACAGAGAAGATATTAGTCAGTATGGCATTGCCAGGTTCTTCACTGAATAGTAAGTACACGAGGACACTGCCAACACGGGCAGCCTGAGGGGGGCTTTTGGAAACAGGCAGGGTACATGGAGAATGGAGCTGGACACATGCTGATTATGTTGTGAATGCTGCATTTCACTAGGTTAGCCAAGGGCTGCCTGAGCATGTTTCAGAAACGTGCATGGGTTTCGTACAGTTTGGTACCTCTCCTGTTACAAACCTCCATGTGAAGCAGTCATTTTGGGGAAGAAAGTTTTTAAAAGCATATTAAAAAAAAAAACAAATTGTGCTTGGCTTAATCAGGGCTGTTGGCCAGTATCAAAAGCAGGGAGTGCTTCTGGTTTCAGCAGCACTTATTCTTTCTTTTTCTGAGCATGAATTTGAACTGTTTTGTCTCCTTGTGTGATTGTTATCATGCTGAATGCTTTAATAGAATGTCTCTTGCTCCCTTATAATCTGTGTAAGTCCTTAAAAGGAACATAATAATTAGCACAGATAATCTCTTCCTACTAGTTTAGAAGGATTTAGGGGGGAGGGAAACTGTGTGCTAGTCTTCAACATTATTGATGTTGACTCAGCTGATCACTGTATGTTTTGCGAATTTATTGTCTTACACAATATTTCAAGGTCTCCAGGCAGCTTCATTAAAAAATCTCTTGGTAATGGGTGTGCTTGCAGTTGGTATGTTTCAGTCTGTCCTTTGCCCATTTGAAAATCTGCTTGCTTGCTTCTTTTTCTGTTAACTTTTGCTGAGACAAATCAACGTGCAGAGCATTTCACAAAACTCTCTGTACTACGTCTGTGGAAGAGAATTTCAAAGCACAGGAGCAACTTTCTTTCTGAGCTGACCAGAGGTGGGTTTTTTTGTTGGTTTTTTTTTTTTTTTTTTAACTGAAGCATCAATTTGACCTCCAAATGAGATCTAACTTGCTATTTCAGTTGTCTGGACTACTTACATTATATTTTCCTGCCCCATGCATATTTTAAACTTATAGATACCAGAGATTCTCACTGGTATAGTAGTAATTAAAATAAACTATGCAGCAAGTCTGAGTGGAAATTTTCAAAGCAAGTGGTTTTGGAAACAGGGTGAGAAGCTGCTCAAGACCAGTGTGTTTTGTCCATGCTTGGCAGAGGAGGTAAGATATGGGCTATCTCATTTTTCTGTTTATAGAACAAGTCTTTTAGGTAGGTCGCATTGTAACAAGAAAATGTTTTTTGGTAGTTCCTTATCTGTCTTGTTCTCAACAAAGTACTTCCAGCTTTCACTTGGAGTGAATTGTCCCTGTTACAAAATCTGGAAGTCCCATGTACGACTTCCAGAATAAAGGCATTTACACAGAACAATCAAGAAGAATCAAACAGCTGAACAAGGCTGTTATGTTTTACTATTAACCTTTCCCTGTAGTGCACTTCCATGTTCTGAGCAAGTTGCAGTGGTAGCAGTCATTGATATGTGAGAGTTACGGAGAGTTAATCACTGAGAGCAGGTACTGGGGACAAACAAAGTTACAATCTGTGCACACGATGTGATTGGGAATGATGATACTCCATCAGATACAGGTGACTTTCCACAGAAAGTAATACCAAGATTAATCAGCTGAACAAATAGTAAACAAGAGCTTGAAGATAAAGAGCACAACTATAATGACCTCCACCCTAAGCAGGATTTGTTTACCAAGACTGAAAACAAGGTGGCTCTGAAATACCTAGTTGAAATTGTCATTCAGGCATCTGTCCAGATTGGGTTTGGTTTGCACCTGCTTTCAAGCTGACACCTCAGGGCCTTTTCCAAACTTCTGCACATACATACTTCAAAAATTAAATGGTGGTCAAAGAGGTCTACCACACTCTTTAAAAACTGCTGATGTTGCTTCACTGCAGTATTTCTTCATCGTGACCTGATAACCACCACCTTTTCACTTCCTAGCCCTCTTCCACCTCTGAAAGCATAAATAGTAATTCCAGGTCATTGCGACAAACAAACAGAACCATCAGCATGGAGCACAACCCTCTGATTGACGTAAGTGCTGGAGCTCATGTTTTTCCTGTTTATTTTCAAAGATATGGCTTTCTACAATGGCTTTGTGTTCACACTGAATTTTCCATGGAGCTTCTGATTTTCTGAAAGACAGAAAAAGATGGCATTTTTTTTTTTTCTGTGAGTAATTTAGAACTTGTCACTTTCTTTTTTTTTTTTCTGTCTTTTTTTTTTTTTATGTGGTATAGCTGGAATTTAACGGATGACATTGTGTCCCTGTACCAAAGCACAAACAGCCTTTGTGATTTGGAGAGCTGTGAAACTCTTAGCGTGTGGAATGTGTGAATCTTTCTTATGTGGAGAAAAAATAATCAGAACTATGGAGACAGCCAGAATAGGCAGTTTCCCAGGGCTAAGTGGTGTGTCCTTGCTGCCCAGTGGAATTCTACTCACCCATCCGTCAGTGTTTGTTCAGGCTATGCTTGATCTTGATTTTTATTTTTTGATCTTAATACCTTAGAACTCTAAGATAACTCGTGAGATTCCTAAGGTTTGTTTGTACTGTTCTAGTGTTTTGCTTGTTCCAGGTTATTCTACGGGAGAGGATTGGCATGTCTGTATTTTGAAGTACGCTGTAGGGATTTAAGATAAAAGAGCTTGTTTTCAGGTGTCCAATCCTTCACGTTAGTAAGGACAGTGCAGTGTTCGCTTAGCATCACAGGCTAAAAGCCCAGAATTTAGGAAGCTAGGAGGTAGGCCCAAGCAAGTAATTTTTTTCAAGTGTGTGTAGGGTAAAGTAATACAACTTCTGTAACTTTGCAGAAATAATGAAGTTAGTGTGTCAAGGATGTGAAGTTAGTGTGTTGGATATTCTCCAAACCCTTTTCAGAGGGCACACTGTTCAACACAGTGGTGTTGCATGGACAACCCCTCCTCACTGGATTCACCACTGAAGAGCAGTTGTGGCCTTTCCATTACACGTTACCGTGGGTCACTTCAAGTCTTTGTACCAGTTACAACAGCTATTTTATGAATAATTATTAAGAAAATACTCAGTTTTGGGGTTTAGCTTATTTGAGTGAAATTTCAGAGTTGAAAACTAGGTGGTCATAGAGCTCTGTACGGATCAAGCTGTAAGTGTTTTGCAGGCAAGGAGTTGTTCTTAGCTCAGGAAATGAGGCTGGTTATGTATTCCACTGCTATTCACTGCCTAGCACTGATTGCTGATTGCAGAGGGCTGACCCTCATCTCCGCAGCTCCCCTTCCAGAATATTTTTAGTCTTTAAGGATATTTTTTTTTCACCCACTTTATTCAATTGTTCATTTGTCCCAATTATGTGGACATCTGCTTTTAATCTTGGGAGTTCCTTGAGGCTTCTCTCACCTGACTCGCTCCCAGCTCTTACAGGAACAGGACTCAATCACTCTTCTGTGAATTAATCCACATCTTTTTGCTAAAGAGTAAAATTATTCCTCTCTCAGGACTAGTCTAAATTTTATAGATCTGCTGAAATGCTACTGGTATTTGCTCGTTACAAACCCAAGAAGTCTCTGCTCTGCTTTTGAATCTCCATGAAATACAGACTCTTGAAAACCCTCCATGTAATTATGGACTAATGCTGCTTTACTTCTTCCAGCCTATCTTCTGTGCCAACATATCTTAAAGGGACACGTTCCTCCTATACATTATTTATTATCCTGTTTTCTTGATTGTTCTTGTACTCAAGAAAAGCAGGGCCCCCGTGCTAGTGGATTTGATCACTCAGAGGGAATGTGCATCACGCCCCACTTCAAGTTTTCTGGGATCTGAAGGGGAAGCTGTGTGTTTATTTCCCTTCAGCTAGAAGAAGCAGCACAAACTTTTCTTTACCAAAAGGCTTCCTTTTAGTCCTTTTTTTTTTTTTTTTTTTTCTGTGCTAACAGTGTGCTTGAAACTTTTCCAGTTTGCAGGTAGATGACCTGCTCTGTTCAAGACTCCTTGGAAAGGCATTTTTTTTTTGTTCTTCTTCCAGAACACTTGTTGTTTTCCTTTGTTTATGGTGCAATGTCTTTGGGTTTACCTGCCAGCTGGAGCACAACTGAGAAAGGCATCTTACTGTTGTTTTGCAGATGCCTCATCGCCTCTGCTGGGCTCTGCAAACTGATGTCCAAGATTCCCTGTTTATGTAAAAGGATGTTTCAGCTGGGTTTAACTTGAAGCGTCCCTGCTGGATCTTGTGCACATTCATGTGCTCTCTGATGACTGCTTTGATAATATCTATCTGAGAAGCTGTGTGTGATGTGTGTGTTTGCTGTCAGGGGGGACTGGATGCTGCATTTAGGTCAGTTGTGTGGTTGGCATGGAGTTTTTTTTTCAAAATCCCAGGTCTCCGCTATGTAGAGCACTTTTACACTAAGGGACACTTACCTAGTTCAGAATAACAGGACTGCCAGTGCTATATAGCTTGAGACCATGGGATAGGAAGATGTTATCGTGGTGAGAAATAATATAGTAATGAAGGTGCCTCATTTTCTCCTGCTCTCTGGATTGGCTAGAACAATTTGGTGAACTCATTCCTTAGGGACAGCTGTGATACTGCTTTTTTGACCTCCTCTGGCAATAGCAGTGACACCAGCTTCGTTATCAGAAAAAAGCTTTCAGCTTGTTCAGTCCTGTACGTCTACCTTTCTTTAGCTAAATAAAAGTGTAGAGGAAACAATGTCCTCCTGTTTAAAATGGTCTCAGTACCCTTGGGGGAATGGAAGAGGCAGAGGGGAAGGGCCAGGAATGGGACAGATGGGATGCCTGTGAGAAATAAGCCACTCACTGAAGGCAGCACTGAATGACAACTGGAAATAAGCTGAATTATCTGCTTATAAACAGGAGAGATTCTTAGAGCTAACTCAGAGCCATATGTTTTGTTTTTTTTTTTCAGCCCTCTGTGTGCGTAGGCCTTATCGTCGTCATCTTGCTGTCATCTGCACTGTATCTTTCCCCTTTTCACAGTAACTTGTTCTATCTTGCTTGCAAGGATAGTGTAAGCTCTTCAAGACAGGAAT